CCCCAACTGGATCATGCCCTCAGAATAGGTGAGACAGTTGATTGGCTTGATCTGTTTGGGAGGCATCTAGGCAGTGGTACCAGGTCCTGGGCTCGCTGCATGAGTTAGCTGTTTGAAACCTGGGACTCATACAGGGACGCTTGGCTCAATCTGGGAGGAGGGGACTGGACCTGCTTGGACTGAGTCTACCAGGTTGATCTCAGTCCTCGGGGGTAGCCTTTATGTGGAGGTGGTGGGAATGGGGGGTGTGCTGGGGGGAAGAGGAGGGTGGCAGGAAGGGGGAGAACAAGGGAATCTGTGGCTATTATGTAGAACTGAATAGTATTGTAAAATAAAATTTAAAAAAATGTAAAAAAAATTCCTGTTCAGGAATAATGTGTGATTATTCATATTTTGAACAAATTCACTACATTACCATCATAGATAGAGTCTGCAATTACTCCGCCATCCTTTGATCATGTACTTACTCTATTTTTTTTTATTTGTGTTCATGTAAAGTACCTGAGTATGCATGAATGTGAGCAAAAATATTAGCCCATGGGCAACATCTCAGGGCCTGAATAGTTGAGAAAATCTATCTTTCCACTTTTGTCAACTTATTAAATAATATAAGACACTCAAACATTTTTCACTGCAACATTCTTCCACAGGATACATTAGAATGTTCCCTGGATTTCATAGTGAAAGAATTTGCATCAACATGCAGTTGATGCAATTGCAAATATAGAGTTATGCTTAAATAGCCAGCACATCTTAGTGTCATGCAGAGTTGCACACCGATGTCACACTGATATAGCGTTTCCTCCTGGTATGAATGGTGATATATTGTGTACCCTAAATAATATATGTGAATATCACAGCAGAGAACACACCAATAGATTAAACTTAGTGGTTCCATACACCTGAAATCATATCAGTGTGGAAGCCGTGATCTGTTTTATCTGACAGCCTTCAAAACTACAAGAGATGACAAGGGATATACTCAGTCTATGAGAGAAATAAAGACAGGCATTGTTGGAATATACCTTTAATTTGAATGCTTGTTTGTCATTTGCCTTAACACCTACACTTAAGATCTCACACATTTAATCACAGTAATTGAAAGGTGCATATGCCATTAATCCCAGCACTAGGAAAGAAGTGATGGCTGGGCAGACAAAGGTGTATAAGGCCTTACGATAAAGGAACTAGAGGCTTTTTGCCTGGATAGCTTTCATCTAAGGACTCAGAGACATTCATTCAGAGGATTAATGGAGTTGGAAAAATGAGACATGGCAATGGATTATGCCTTTGTTTCTCCCATCTGTCATAATTTACCCCAATATGAGCTTCTGGTTTTTTCTTTGTTTTGTTTTTTTTCTTATTTAAAATCCATCTACTATTTGTACAACAGTTATGGCATTTGCCAGGTATTTTAAGCAAACTGTCCATTAAAACTCAGGGATTTTATTTTCACTATCCACTACCTATGTCTTCACTACAAGAATTGGATAGTGATGCAAAATATCATATTTTCATTGTATATTCTAATAATTTTTCAAAGTTCTACATAATTTTGAACAGTTATCTTGCTGATATACCCATCTACATTGTTGAGTAGACTATATTCAGGAAAACATAAAGTACCTTGATGGATTTTTCTCAGAAAACACACACATATTGTGATTATGCAACCAATAACTCCATGAATTTTCTTTCTCTGACTCTATCCTTTTTTTCCATCACTTCCAAACTTGGTTGTCTGCTTTATAGATAAAAACATAGTATCTCAACACTTCTTTTGTAATCCCTCGTACATGAATCAGAGCTACACTGAGGAATGTCCTGCATTTCAAAATATCAGAATACTGAAAAGTTATGTTCTCTCTTCTTCTTTAAAAACTAATGTCATTCTAACACTTCTTGGCACGATGAAGCTTCTATTGACTGCTTACTAAGCCATTAATACAGCCACTATTTCCACTCGTATCCTCCTGGTTCTGTGAATTAGAAAATTGCAGCTGAACGAACTATAAAAATGTCAGTAAAATTGATAAATTTACAACCATCTCCACTTGTTAGAAACAAGTGTAAATGCCTCAAAACACTTAGTAATGAGGCCCATGGTCTAATCACCTCTTATTCAACCTTGCTGGAAAAGCAAGCTCAGATCTCACTAGCAAAACCCCGTAAGTTCCCATCTATGTACCCTTTCAAGGTTGGCATCAAATGTCTCTAATCAGAGGTGTTCCATCATGCAAAATTTGGAAAATAATGCAAGAATGTACAGAAGAGTTCTTTCTATATGCCTGTCAGGCTTGGCTGTACTGTGTGTGATTTTACTTGACTTCATCTCTCCCACCCAGAAAGCATCAATAGTCTATGTCAAAGAGAAGGCAGAAAAAATCTATCAGATTCAGAGGTGGTAGATGAATTTGTGGGAACAGTGCTATCTAGTGTCCAATGTATTATAGGAATTCAGAGGCTGATGTTACAGAGACAAAACTGCACAGTTACATAAAAACAAACAAACAAACAAATCATAACGAAGAACAAAGAATCTAGTGTGTGAATATCTTAGAAGGGAAATATGTAACACCATCCTCTCGGCACTAGTAAATAACTGATTTCCAAAGAAAATTCAAGGCTGGCTTCATGACAAAAAGAGGAATGGGATGACTAGGAAAGAAGAACAAAAGAACTACAGCTTGTATTTGCCAAAATACAAGGAGAATGCAAATCAAGCTTGCAACGTTGAATTTGGGAGTATAACCTTGGAAAGTTGAATCTGTGAATATAAATGACAACAGGATGATAACATCTTAATATCCTGCACTATAATTTTTTGTGATCGAAGGTAGGGTCTCAACAGCAAATATCACTGTGTGATATATTCATAGGCTCTAAGGTTTCTTGTGAACACTGACATTGCCAAAATACAAGGAGAATGCAAATCAAGCTTGCAACGTTGACTTTGTGAGTATAAATGACAACAGGATGATAACTGTTTAATATCCTGCAATACATTATATTGTGAACGTCTGCATTTTGTGACAGGTAGGGTCTCAGCAGCAAATTTCCCTGCATGATATATTCATAGACTCTATGTATTCTTGTGAACACTGACAATGCCAGAGTAGTTCCCACTGTGTCCTCCCAGGGTGAAGAAAGGAGCCTGACTCCACTAGCATCTATCATATATTAATGTATGCAATGGACTACCGAGCTAAGAGATGATACAGCATTTCAAATCTGACAGAGATATCAAATCTTAACAGAGAAGCAGTTGCTTCAAAAGGAGGATGCTACTTCCTGCACAGGAGACAGAGCAGGTGACTAGGACTTATAAAGCTGGGAATGAAAAAATCCCTGCCTTTGCTTATTTCCACAGGCTCTGACTCCTGTACATGTCAGGAGCAGTCTGCCTTGCCTATCCAATGTATAGTCAGGCTTTAGCCACACCCAAGACCCAGTGTGTCCTGGAATATGGCCAGAGCCTTACTGGTAAGTGCTCGCAATTGTGTCTCTTTTATAAGCACTTCTTGCTTCTGATTGAAGGACAGTGTGCATTCAAATTCATCGGAGAATAAGAACCAATAAGGACAGTGATCTCAGTTTTAGCAATGGAGGCAAATCCTGAGGTTACCTTGGAATGAACACAGGAGCTGCTGACTCATTCTTGTCTCCCTCTGAATACATGCAGCAGCAGAAGCAGCGAAACTGAAAGAGGATGAGCAGGAAAGAATGTAATTGATCCTGATTCCTCACTGCAATTATCAAAAAGAAAAATACAACCAGTGTCATGTAGGGTGTGATCCTTCATCCCTCTGCTGGTGTCCACATCCTGCCTATCTACATGAAAGCCTCCGATTATTCCTAGAGATGGACGATTATGATTCTCTGCTGCCAGTTGCTTCTTGCTGACAGTTTCTGATATGACATGTTAGCTTCCCAACAGAAATGATTAAATGCTTGAAGTTAGCAAAACACACACACACACACACACACACACACACACACGCGCGCGCGCGTTTGTTTGTGGGGGGGGGGAGTGCAGGTGTGTGTGTACATAGTGCCAGAAATTAGATGTTTGTATTCTAAATAGAGACGTGACTTTGAATACCTGCTCTGAACATCCCTAAATTGCATATCGTATCTTATAGTGTCATGTTGATTAAGCAATAATCTGATGTATTCCTTTTAGAAAGACATATTCATGATACATATATACCTTCAGCAATTGTATATTTGTCTGTTTGATTATTGCTGTGGTTCCACATGTCTGCATGCATTTGGCATTAATTTGGTTTCACAGTGCGAGTTCATATTCATGCAATTCCTCTTCAGATTTAACGTGTAACTACTGAAATTTTGATCAAATTCACTGCATTCCCTTCACTAGATTCCCTCTAGTCTGCAATCACTATTCCACCCTTGATCATGTACTTGCTCTATTTTTGGTTATCTGTGTTCATGCAAAGCACCTGTGTATGCATGAGTATGAGAACAACTAGCCCATGGGCAGAATACCAGGACTAGAATACATGAGATAATCTAACTTTCAAACTTGTCATCTTACTAAAACATATAAGCCACTCATACATTTTTCACTTCACCATTCTTCCACAGGATACACTAGATATTCCCTGGGTTTTAGAGTGAAAGAATTATGCATGCATATGCAGCTGATACAGTTTCAAGAGTACAGGAATGCTTAAATAGCCATCACATTTTAGTGGCATGCAAAGGTGCACACCAAAGTCAGATTGACATAGAATTTCTCCCAGGTATATGTGGTGATATATTGTGTAACCTAAAGAATGTACTTGAAGATCAGAACACAGAACAAGCCACTAGATTCAAGGTAGAGGTCAGGGAGTAGTTGCACACACCTGAAATCCTACCACGTGAGAAGCAGAGATCTGTGTGTATATCATCGCCCCCAAAGATACCCTGAACTACATGGGACTGACTGGGTCTAAGGGAGAAACTAAGCCAGGCATTATTGGAATACACCTTCAATTCTAGTACTGGTGGTCATTTTCCTTTAACACCTGCACTTGACATCTCACACCTTTAATCCCAAGATTTGGGAAGCACATATGCCATTAATCCCAGCACTAGGAAAGTAGTGATGGCTGGGCACACTAAGGTAGATAAGACCCGAGGAAACAGGAACTAGAGGCTTTTCACCTGGATAGCATTTGGCTAAGGACTCAGAACATTTATTCAGAGGATTAATGGATTTGGCAAAGTGAGACTTGGCAATATCTTGTTCTTTTGTTTCTCCCATGTTGAGAATTACTCCAATATCAGATTTGAAGTTTTCATTTTTAATTAAAATGTCCATCTACTATTTATACACAGTCATGAAATTCCCAGAATATGTTAAGCAAACTGTCCTGTAAAACTCAGGTGATTACTCTCACTATCCACTCACTATGCCTTTGTCCTAGAATTGGATAGTAATAGAAAATGCCATATTTTCATTTGTATATTGTAATAATATTTCCAAGTTCTTCATAATTCTGAACAGTTAGCTTGATGATATATCCATCTACATTGGGGTGTAGAATATATTCAGGATAATATAGAATGCCTTGATGGATATTCCTCAGAAAATACACACATGCTGTTATTATGCAAGTAATAACTTCATAAAATTCCTATCGCTGATGCTATTCTTTTTTTCCACCACTTTCAAACGTGGTTGTCTGCTTCCTATATAGAAACATAGTATCTCCACACCTCTTTTGTAATCCCTCACACATGTATCAAGAGCTATACTGAGGAATGTCCTGCATTTAAAATATCAGAATACTGATAAGTTATGTTCTCTCTTCTTCTTTTTAAAAATCATGTCATTATAACACTTCTTGGCATGATGAAGCTTCTATTGACGGATTACTAAGCCATTAATACAGCTATAATTTCTTCTCAAATCCCTGGGCACCATTAATTAAAGCTGCAGCTTACAGAACTGTAAAAAAAGTCAGTAAAATTGATCAATTTACCTCCATCTCCAATTGTTAGAAACAAGTGTAGATGCTACAAAACACTTAGTAATCTCCCCATGGTCTAATCAACTCTTATGCAGCCTTGCTGGTAAAACAAGCTCAGATCTCACTAGCAAAACCCTGAGGGCTCCCATATATGTACCCTTTCAATGTTGCCATCAAATATCTCTAATTAGAGGTCTTCCATCATGCACTATTTGGGAAATAAAGCAAGAATGTGCAGGAGGGTTCTTTCTATATGCCTGTCAGGCTTAGCTCTACTGTGTGTGATGTTACTTGACTAAATCTCTCCCACCCAGAAAGCATCAATAGTCTATGTCAAAGAGAAGATAGAAAAAAATCTAACAGATTTAGGAGTGGGAACAGTGAATGAATCTGTGGGAACAGTGCTATCTAGTGTCCAATGTATGATAAGACATAGAATTCAGAGGCTGTGGGTACAGGGACAAAATCTACACATTTACACAAAAAACAAACAAACAAATCATAGTCAAGAACAAAGTCATATGGTGTGTGAATAACTTAAAAGGGAAATATGTAATACCATCCTCTTGCCACCAGTAAATAATTGATTTCCAACAAAGTTCAGCCCTGCTTGATGACATAAAAAGGAACAGGATTTCTTAGCCAGAAGAACAAAGGAACTACAGCTTGTAAATGCCAAAATACAAGGAGAATGCAAATCAAGCTTGCAACGTTGAATCTGTAAGTGTAAATGACAACAGAATGATATCCTGCAATACATTATATTGTGAACATCTGCATTTTGTGACAGGTAGGGTCTCAGCAGCAAATGTCATTGCATGATATATTCATAGAATTCAAAGCCTCTTGTGAACACTGACAATGCCAGAGTAGTTCCCACTGTATCCTCCCATGGTGAAATTGCCTGACTCCACTAGCATCTGTCACATACATAGGTCTTCAATTGACTACCTTGCTAACATAACAGATGATACAGCGTTTCAAGTCTGACACAGCAATATCAAATCTTAACAGAGAAGCAGTTGCTCTAGGAGCAGGATGCTACTTCCTGCACAGGAGATAGAGCAGGTGACTAGAAGTTATAAGGCTGGATATGAAGTAATACCTGCCTTTGCTTGGATTTCCACAGGCTCTGAGTCCTGTACATGACAGGAGCAGGCTGCATTGTCTATCCAATGTATAGTCGGGCTTTAGTCATACCCAGGATCCATTGTGTCCTGGAATATGGCCAGAGCCTGACTGGTCAGAGCTCACAATGCTGTCTCTTTTATAAGCACTTCTTGCTTCTGATTGAAGGACAGTGTGCATTCAAATTCATCATAGAATAAGAACCAATAAGGACAGTGATCTCAGTTTTAGCAATGGAGGCAATCCTGAGGTTACCTTGGAGATGAACACAGGAGCTGCTGACTCATTCTTGTCTCCCTCTGAATACATGTACAAGCAGAAGCAGCAAAACTGAAAGTGGATGAGAGGGAAAGAACGAAATTGATCCTGAGTCCTCACTCCAATTATCAAAAAGAAAAATACAACCAGTGGCATGTTGGGAGTGATCCTTTATCCCTCTGCTGGTGTCTACATCCTGACTATCTACATGAAAGCCTCCACTTCTTCCTAGAGATGTACAATTGTGATTCTCTGCTGCCAGTTGCTTTTTGCTGCTGACAGTTTCTGATATGACATGTTAGCTTCCCCAACAGAAATGATTAAATGCTTGAAATTCAGTTGTGACATGAGCAATATATATATAATGTGTGTGTGTATGTGTGTGTCTGTGTGTGTGTGGGTGTGTAGTGCCTGAAAATGGATGTTTGTATGTTTGTATTCTAAATAGAGATATGAATTTGAAGACTTGCTCTGAACATTCTTAAATTGCATATCCTATCTTACAGTTTCATGTTGATTAAGGAATAATCTGATGTTTTCCTTTTAGAAAGATATATTCATGATATATATATATATATATATACCTTAGGCAATTGGACATTTGTCAGTTTGATTTTTGGTGTGGTTCTACAAATGTCTGCATGCATTTGAAATTAATTTTGGTTTCACGGTACCACTTCACGCTCTTAAAATTTCCTCTTCAGTACTAACATGTAACTTTTGAAATTTTGTACAAATTTATTGCATACCCTTCACTAGAATCTCTCTTGTCTGCAATTACTACTCCATCATTTGATCATGTACTTGCTCTATTTTTGGTTATCTGTATTCCTTTAAATCATCTGAGTATGCATGGGCTTGAGAATAACTAGTAGCCCATGGGTAGAATACCAGGGATAGAATAGTAGAAAAAAACTGTCGCCGGGCGGTGGTGGCGCACGCCTTTAATCCCAGCACTCGGGAGGCAGAGCCAGGTGGATCTCTGTGAGTTCAAGGCCAGCCTGGACTACCAA